CTCCAGCCTCTCATACCTCTCCCCAAGTTCACCTGCAGTCGTTTACCTTGCTTCCTGTATCACTGAACCAATAGAAGAAATCTGAATATGTTTCCACAATAATAACTTCCCAGCCACCCACTGATCTATATATGTGTGTTAGGATACCATACCTCCTCTAGCATTATTAGGCAGTGTTACTGAGGTTGTAGTTGTGTGTCACTGAGTCAGAACCAACTCACAGCTGACCCTCCAGTGGGTTTTCAGAGGCAGTAAATTTCAGGAGAGAAGAGCATCCACCTTTCTCCCATGGAGAAGTTGGTCGTTATGAAATATGCACCTCTGGGATTACAGTGGACTAGAGAACAATTTTTCTTGTGTCCCTCAAAGGTGTTGTACACACAGCCTCTTCCTCACCTGCATCCACAGTATTTCCTTTCTACAACAACTACTTTATCCTCTCCACTCACTACTTCATCTCTAGAGCCTTTTCAGCAAAACTCAAACCTAAGCATCCCTTTAGAGTCTTCAAAAGACTTTTCTTCCCTTGGTTTTGAATGTATTACATGTTCCTGATTTCCCCCTGCTTTCGCAGACCTCTAGTGACTCTTATACCCCATCTGTTAACATGCAATATCAAAGCTTAATTCAATGTTTTCCTAGGAACACTTTTAAGGAGCTCTGGAAGTACAATACTTAAACACTGGCTCCTAATTGAAAGATGAGGTTTGCCAAGCCACTAATGGAAGCAGGAGTGGCATCCACTTCCTAAACAACATGCCTCCAGACACTCTATGAACTTTGATAAATGTCGATAGTTGTAGAGGTGCTCCAGGTCTTTTGTTCATAGGGTCGCTATGAGTCGTGCTTGACTTGAAGGCAATCAACAACAACAACAAATTGGTTTTATAGAGTTCTGGTGGCCTAATGGTAAGAAGCAGTGCTGCAATCCTGAAGGCACACAGTTTGTGGGAGAAGGCTAGTCAATCCCCTCCAGTGCTATTAATTGCCTCTGAAAAGCAGAAAGAGGGTTGGTTCTGACTCTACAATACACAACAACAGCATTGGTTTTATAGGAGAAAAGACCTGGTGGTCAGCTCTCATTAAGATTTATGGCCTAGGAAACCACATCAGGTAGTTCTACTCTGTCCTACAGGGTCATAATTGTTTCTTACAAGCTGGAACCTCCTGGAAAATATGATATTGTATGCCATGAAGTCGGAACCAACTTACAGCTGACCCTCCAGCTTGTTTTCAGAGGCAGAAAATTGCCTGGGAAGAGACTGTTTATCCTTCTCCAGAGGAACAGATGGTGGATTGGAACCACATGTCTTTGGACTTGCTTCTTACCACTAAGAACTAAGGCCTCCAGAGTTCCCTACATAGCTCTCCCTTTTCTGCCAGCTCCAATTAACCATATACTCAGCAGAAAGGCATTTTTGTGTAAATACAGTTTAATGTATGTAAATTATAGTTTACCATCTTGTTTGTTATACTTTTTTCTTTTCACACTATGCTTTTAAAACATTTCTAAAATGTTATTATAATTGAAGATTTTTAACTGCAACATTGATCTGTCACACATTCAGATTCATCTTCAAACATTATTCACAATCTGACAATTTCCTAAACAACTTCATATACTGGACAAAGCTACCAACATTCCCTCCAGCATTATTGCCAAGAAATGATAATTAATCTTTTCCCAACCCAGCAGGCACAACAGTCCTGTAAAGAATGTAAATCAAATCATTTTATTGTTCTGCTTAATGCCCGCGATGCCTTCTTTCCTTCTTCAAGGAAAACCCAACATCATTTCAATGACCTGAATAGCTCTATGTGAACTGCTGTTAGTGTAAAATCTTTCTCTTTCTCTGACTGCTTACTATAATCTTATCCGTTTTTATTACTGTGGGTGAATCATGCCATGGTCTTTGCAATCACTTGTTATGCATCAGAGAGCTGGACAATAACTTGGGAGTATAGAAGAATTGATGCCTTTGAGCTGTGGTGCTGGAAAAGAGTATTGAATGTGCCATGGACTGCTAAGAAAATGAACAGGTTCATCCTGGAGAGGGTTAAACTGGGCTGCTCCTTGGAGACAAGGATTCTGAAGCTTCATCTGACATATTTTCGACATGCTGCATGGAGGGACCAGTCCTTGGAGAGGGATGTCATGCTTGGGAGGGTGGAGGGACAGCCGCAGGGGAGGAAGACCCTTGATAATGTGGATTGATTCAACGACTGGAGTAATGGGGATGGGTGTGTCAGAGACAGTGAGACTTCACAGGAAAAAAACTGGGTTTAGGGCTGTTGTACATAGGGTTGTTATGAGTTGCAGGAGACTCAGTGGCACACTATAACATGAACCAGGTACACCCTTCCATGAGGTTCTAGACAAGATCTTCACCGAGTGCTCACATTTCTGTATATCTTGTTAGTCTTTACTATCAACCCTAGTTACTTGGACTGGTTCCCCAAATTCTACCTATTCTTTTCTACTTGAATTTTTGGTGGAGTAATGCAATACGAGTTACACTATTAATCTTAAGATTGGAAGTTCAGATCCACCAGTTGTGCCAACGGAGAAAGAAGGGCAATCCCCCTCTGTAAAGTTTACAGCCTTGGAAGCCTGGCAGAGGATCAGATCAGACTGCAGAATGAGAACTTACTTGGTGACAGGGCATTTGAGGGGGTCTCCTCTACTTAATCTTTTACCTTAACACATCCCTTGCTTGAATAGACCTTGTGTATATAAGGGAGTTCTGGTGGCCTAGTGGTAAAAAGGTGTGCTGCAATCCCAAAGACACACAGTTCAAATCCACAGGCTGCTCCACAGGAACCACAGGAGAAGGATAGGCAATTTCCAATCATGCACTTAACTGCCTCTGAAAACCTGCTGGAAGGTCAGCAATGGGTCGGTTCTGACTCAATGGACAAGAGCAACATATGTGTACAGGTACACATACACGCAGAAAGGGGGGGAAGTAATGTGTATATAAATATTGTTTAACTATACTGTTGTTATATATATACCACCAAGTGTACTGATTCTTACCTGAGTTTTTAGAAGGTGTAAAATGCATGGATATGAACTTTACGTATATGGTGCTTTAGTGGCTCAAGGGTTAAGGAACTGTGCTGTCAATTGAAGGGCAACTGTTTCAAATCCACCAGCTGCTCTATTGATAAAACTGGACAATCTCCTCCTATGCAATTTATAGCTATAGACAGAGAAATGTTCCCTGTCTGTCTATACAGAAATCTCTAGTAGAAAACTGTGCTACAAACCCAAAGGCACAGAGTTTGAATCCACCAGCTACTCCACTGGAGAAGGATGGGCAGTCTCCCCTGTACGATTTATTGCCTTGGACAAAAGCCACTTTGGAGTCAGCTATGGGTCAGTTCCAACTGGACAGCACACAACATCATGTCTAGATATACAGACTTAGGTACCATCGCGTTGAAACCGACACATGGCTGACCCTCCAGCAAGTTTTCAGAGGTGTTTCATCACACAGGTGACTGCCCATTCTTCTAGATGCGTATACACACACACACACACTCACACATATATACAAGGTATATTCAATCAAGGGAATTACTAAGGTAAAAGGTTAAGTAATAAGACCACCCTAAACCCACTGCCATCAGAGAGTTCTGATATTTGCTGGCTAAGTGGTAAGAAATTGCACTGCCAAAGCAAAGAAACACAGTTCAGATCCACCAGCTGCTTCACAGGAGGAAAATGGGCACTCTCCTCCTGTGTGATTTGCCACCTCTGATAACGTTCTGGGGGGTCAGCTACAAGTCAATTACAACTTGATGGGAAGCACAGATAGATACATAGAGAGATATCAATACATACAGTGCATGCATATTTTAAATTGTTGGATTAACTGGAGAGATAGTGAAGAGTAAATATATAATTATTTCTAACAATATATCTTAGCACAGTATAAAACAATTACCTATTATCTCCCTTGTTAACTTCCTCAAAATAATTTAAGCTCCGTAAGGCAGAGATAGTGAAGGGGTTTTGGCTTGTTTTGTTTCATTGCTACATGTCCAAAGACTAAGAGAGCAGTAGAAGACTGCAGATGGTAAATATATAATTATGTTACCAATAAAACAAACAATAATTCAAGACAAACACTTGATTCTAAGTACCCTGAATGACCCTGACAGAGGGTCACTATGTGGGTGTCAGACAGACGGTGATGGTGGCGTGGGCCTGCCTCCATGTTGCCTAACTCAGGGCATCCTACTTTGGGCTGTCTTGGGTTCACAGGTGTTACTCTTAGATTTCATCAACTCATTTACTTTTCCACAATAGGAGGGAACAGATCATTTTTTAAAATCTTTTCAATCCTAAATAGAACTTATGTTCTCAATACCTTAAGGAGACCAAACACAGACACTGAAAGCAGTGTGCTTTAAACTCAGCTTTGATCACATCAGTTGTTACGGAAGTACTTTTTTTCTGCTGATGCTTCTTTATGAATCTCAGAGAAGCAGCCTAGTTTGAATAACCTACCGTGTTTCTCCTCTGCTGCAGAACTCTAGCTGGCTTGGGTAGGAAACAAAGATTAGCAGTGATATTCCATGCACAAGCATAAAATTTAATGTGTAAAATATGTGCTACTAAAACATGTTCTCAATAGCTAATTCCTATTGTAAACTCCATAATAGCCAACCTTTTATGTTGCAGTAAATATGGCATTATTATACTTGGACTGAAGTGAGAGAATTATAGCATCATTCATTCTTGGACATTATATTGGCTATGAGAAAAAGCTTTTCTTCCTTTGTAGCTAAATTAACTTTTACATTTCTAATTGTGTATAAATGTAGGATGTGCTGAACTATTTGTGTGATGCAATCAAATGTGTAGTTAATTCCAGAGTTTAAAAATGCAAGTGAATCTAAATGGTCTTTCTTGGGCTTGCACAGCTGTGAAAGAAGACAGCAGAGAGGCTGGATCATCTCTCTCCAAAAGTTCAAGAGCTAAAAACAATTACCTCTTCAAGGACATCAGCAAGCTTACTGAGAATCTCTTCAGGAAGGCTCTGGAATGTTGGAACGCTGGAAAACAAAAGAGAGAAGAATGCTGAATGCATGAAAGCAACTTCTGTTACTCCATGAAACCATTCATGGAGAATGAATCTGCATGTGCAGGTAAAAACAATTATTTAAGCATGATTTAATGTCCAATAGGGAAAAAGTATTGTTAAACTAGAGAGAGTATGGGAGTTGAGCAGGACTGAGTTCCAGCTCTGACTTCTATTTGTGTTCATCCCATTAAGTTCCACAGCTCTAAAAGGGGAGAAAACTGCCCTATCCCTGTCGTGCTATTGTCCTAGACTTTTATTTTTTCCAGTTTCAGAAGTCTCTATACTCACTCATCTCCCAAATACTTTACATCTTTTCCCAGTCAACCCCTGCTCATCACTTGGGATAAAGCCCGATCAATCCTACATTCCCACCTGCAAGCATCAGGTCAACAACGTTAAGAAGCCTCATTGACCTTCAGCCAGCTGAATACCAGACCAATCATCATTGATGAGTTTCAACTTATTACAACCCCATATTTGACAGAACAGAGCTGTGTTCCATACGGTTTATAGTGTTGAGTTTTCAGAAGTCAATTCAGTTGCTTAAGCATTTATACCACCCAGACAGACACTGATAGCTAAGAACCCCTATTATGATAGTTCACATGTCCTCCAAAGAATAAGAGCTCTTTGGACCACCAGCCTCAGCAATAGCATTAGAAGAGAGAGACCCTCACTGCTAGGGAGTCCTTGCCCCAACTCGCCCCCTCCCAAGAATTTTACTTCCTTGACACAGTTTCCAACCAGTCACCCTGAGAAAGGGGAGAGGCTTAGAGAGCCCATCTTGTCATGTACCATCAATAAAGTACACTGTTCTCAGCCAAACAAAACAAAACAAAACAAACCACAAAAAAACCCCACCACCTATTGTGAGTTCCTATATCTATTCCTAAAATTTTAATGAAGCAATGAATCAAATACAGATATACAATATCTAATGCCAATTCAAATAATGTCCCACGAAACTTATGTCAGTTGTCCCAGAAGCTTTTTTTAGGGAAACAGCCCTCTTTTTATTATATCAAGTGGTCTTTAAAACACAATTCCCACAAATGGAATGTTCAACGAGGCGTCAGAGGTCATTCTAGCCCCCACAAAGCCACCTCTTCCATCGTCTGGCATCATTCACCTGCCTAGCAACAGGCACCCTTTCACTCTGGCTCAGGATGCCCTGCCTACTGTAACTCCTCTGTCCTCACCATAGGTGTTGGCTATGTGGGAGCAGAAAGCTGGCATAACAACAGGGTGAGGGCAACCAGCTCCAACCACTAGCTGTGCTCCCAGCACCCACATACCAGGTCTCCAATACACCATCTCCATGTTTTCTGACCCCAACTCCTCCATGAATGTGCACAAGGTACTAATCTGCCAGCCAGCACAGTCCCCTCCCTTCTCAGCTGCACCCCTGGCACAGCTGCTCTCCCTTATCCAATGAATACAGCTCTCAGACTTGTCCAGAGGATTAACACAAGGTTTCAATATAATGGGCTTTCACTATGGATTCTTTGTACAAGGACTGCCTGTACATAATATGATGGGTTTGCACAACATTCCAGCTACCTAGTAGTCTGCATCACAGACTTGGTAAGGTTCACAGATATTGTGGTTTGTTATTATTTGCTATGATGAAAACCCAGCAAAGGTAGGAACTATATCGTATCTTGTCCACTTCTGTCTTCTCAGTAATTTGCAAATAACAAAAACAACAGAATGTGTTAAAGCTAAGAAAACACAGATGTGGGGATGTCTGGATGGCTCCTGGGTCAAATAAAAGGATCAGATCAGGCAAGGTAAGAGTCAAGAGTTAGACTTAAAAAAGAGATTCAACATCATTGGGTTTTTTCTTCCCACACAACAGTAAATAAAATATTGAATGATGCTGAGCACATAAACTAACATAACTTCTTTTTTAAAATATGAAACAGAAGTTATTTTAAATGAAAAAACAACATCAACAAGTAATTCTGTAAAATCTGATATGTGGAACTAAATTACTAACGTAATCATATCTCCATGCTACTATAGGGAAAATACAATAGATGATTTAGACATATTTTGATGTCCTTAGATATTTGACCTACAGCAAAGTTTTATTTGATTAGAACGATATAACAAAAGAAACCATGAAAGACTGTTTTGATAGAAGGATGAAGGCTTTGCTGTTAATTTATCACTCCAGTTTCCATGACTGCCTCCCAATAGGGCAAAGTCTATTGATAAAATCCCAGGGTTTCATGCAGAGGTGTAACATTCACCCAGGACCATCTGTTCTGCCAGATTTACTGCTGTGGTCGGAGCATGTGGGTTTTAATTTCCAGAAGGCAGTCTATTTCAGCAGCTGGATGGAAAATATCACAGAAAGACAGGAGACAGAGAAGATGTTTCCATGACGTATATAGATTCAAACTTCTAGTCCTCCTTTGTTATTTTAATGAACTCTATTCAGTTTCTTCTTCAAATAATAATTATACAACATCCATAACCTAGTAGGTTATTTGTGGGAAACAAAGCTTAACTGAGGCTTTTCACTTTCTTTTAATTGGCTCCTCTGGTCCTACCCTGTGCCATCCTCAGAATCTCTGGCACACTCAATCAAGCCCATTGCTGACATCACTGTGCCAAACCACCACTTAGGGTTGTCTACTCCTTCACCACCCCTCAACCTTTCCAAGCATGATGTTCTTTTCCAAGTAATAACCTCTCTTAGCCACATGCCCAATGTATGTGAGATGAAGCTTCATCATCTTCGTGTCCAAGGAGCATTATGGCTGCCAATTATCCAAGACATGTTTGTTCTTTTGACAGTCCATGGAATATTCAGTACTCTTCTGCAATGACACAGTTCAAAGGCATCAATTCTCCTTCTATCCTTATTCATTTACCAGCTCACAAATGCATAGCAAGTGACTGAAAGAGACTATGGCTTTAATCAGGTGCATGTCTGTCCTCAAATTCATATTACAGTTTAATAATTTGGAGAGGTCCCTGACTGTAAATTTTTCCACTGCAATACATCCCCATTTCTCCTGACTGTAGGTCCCAAGTGTACTGATTGTGGAGTCAAGCAAGATGAAGTCATTGACAGTTTCAATTTTTTCTCCATCTATTATCATGTCTAGGCAGGCTTAGTATTCCTATGCTAGAACTTATATTTCAATCTAGAATATTTCTATGCCAAGTCAAACAACAATACTTTTATTTTAACATGACATCTCAATCATAAGGAAAACCTTAATATTTCCTGGATCATATGACCCACTAAGCAAAAGAAAAATATTATATTTTAGTTATGTTGTTGTTGATAGCCATTGAGTTGAGCACAACTCATAGCGACCCTATGAAAAAAAGGCCTGTGAAGCCTTTCTATAACTATTGTCATTTACCAAAGTTTATAGAGTTTCCAGAGACATGTTTAGGAAGTGGATTCCACAATCTTTTGCAAATATGGGTCTTTTAAAATACCTAATAATACTTACTAGTAGTAAAAATTCAAACTTTTTAAAGAAGAACTTTTAAAAATATCCGAAATCAAAGTACTTACACACAGTAGAAATAGTTCAATAAGAACAAAAGCCTTCATTTTCAGAAACTACTATAAAAACAGGAAGCTTTAATGGCCTGGTGGTAAGGAGTTGTGCTGTCAATTTGACGACATGGAGTTCAAATCCACCAGCTGCTCCTGTGTGATCAGTTAGGGGTCAGTTCTGACTGAATGGTACATAACAATAACTCTAAAAATACTGTTGTTGTCTTTTAAACTGTACTATCTCTATCATTTGACTAATTTGCTTTCAAAGAAGTACTGGTCCATCAATAGAGTGAAGTCTAAGAAGAAAACAATATAAAATAGCTGCAGTAGTTTATATAATTTAGTTGCATTTTCACAAATATATAACCAAACATTAACTTGGAATCTACTAATTTGAAATACAAAATTTGTATATTTTTTTATGATACATGAAGAAGAATGTGGCATCAGAATTGAAGAAAGATTCATCAATGGCCTTCAGTATGCAGATAACAAAATGTTGCTTACTGAAAGTGGACTTGAAATACTTGCTGCAAAAGATCAAACAGCCCCTTCACTCTGCTGATGAGTGAAAACTCAAGTCTGACAAGTCTGTAGGTTCAGTGTTAATATTGAGATATTGGACAAGAGTTAAAACATAGTAAATCTTACTTCAAGTCATAATCACTATAAGTTGTAATATATTTAAAGTTGGTACGTCAAGAAATATGTCGTTTTCGAGCCTGGTTACATTGGCAAAATGATTGCATGCGTTTGAATAGGTGACTTTAAATATAGTTAGAAGGTTTACAAATTAAGTAAAAAAAAAAAAGATCAAACAACATCCTTCAATATGGATTGCATTTCAACAACAAGAAAACAAAAATTCTCACCACTAGACCAACAGGCAACATCATGATAGATGAAGAAAAGATTGAAACTGTCAATGTCTTCATTTTACTTGGCTAAAGAATCAATACACTTGGTATACAATAGCAGATAAATAGACATATTACACTGGGAAAGTCTGCAGCCAGGGACCAGGGACCTGTCTAAATTTCTGAGAAACAATGATGTTAGTTTGAGGACTAAAGTGAACCTGAGTCAGGCCATGGTCTTTTCAATCACTTGCTGCTGAGAGCTGGACAATGAATAAGATGATAGAAGAATTCTTGATGGCTTTGAACTATGGTGTTGAAAAGAGTACTGAATAACCTGAACAGATATTTCTTGGAGAGGGTGAAACCAGATTGCTCTTTGGAGGCAAGCGATGGTGAAGCATCATCTCACATACTTCTGGCATGTTACTAGAAGAGGGTATTCCTTGGAGAAAGACATCATGCTCAGAAAGGAGCGGGGATGGTAAAGGAGAGGAAGACCCTCAAGCAGGTGTATTGACACAATGACTGCAGCAATGGGCTCACATACGTCAGATATTTTGAGGTTGGTACAAGATAGGTTAA